ACACAAGACCCATTAATTACCCACACTAGGGTTGAGCCACAACCCTAGCTTATGGGTCTAGATACTCATAATTGGAGAAAAAAACAAAGAAATAGATGAAGAAAAACTTATATTAATTAATTGCTAAATTAAACTTGAAGATTCAATATTGAAATGAAGCTAAAATTAGTCAAAATAGCTAAAAATATCGAAGTCACGAACGCAGCCTTTAGTACAAACAATCTGATGACCTAAAAAATGGGAAAAGAAGCTATTTATACTAAGTTGAAAAATATGTACAAAAGTACCCCTGCGAGGTTAGTGCGGATCACATAAAATCACGTGCGGCCGCACTACGACTCTGAACTTGAATAAACGACTCTCTGAAGTCGGGCAATGCAGACCGCACAGAATCGATTATGGCCGTGATGGCTTCTAGTGCGGTCCGCATGAAATGGAGCGCGGACCACATTGGGCTTCAAACTTGGAACTGGCTACTCTCTGAACCTTGGCTCTGCGGACCGCACTAAATCGAGTGCAGCCGCATTGATCCCAGTGCGGACTGCACAAAACCTCGTGCGGCCGCATTACCTTTTTGCCTGAATAGTAGCCTCTCTGAACCTCACTTGTGCGGGCCGCACAGAATGGTGTGCGGCCGCACTAGCCCGGTTTTGCCTGAGCTTTGTCTTGTCTTGATACCTATGCAAGTTTCACTCGTTTTTTGAGCTGATCTTTGACATCTTGTCACCTTGTTGATTAAACCTGCAATCAAGCACAACTTGTGAGCCTTTGGGACTATTTTGTACACATTTCTAATCAAAACTTAAGAATGAGGAGTATAAAATTTATCAAAATCCCTAGTTATCAAGTTCTGGGAAATATGAATATATGAAGGCTAGTATGAAGATTTGAAAATGAAGATGAAGATTTGAAGGCCAAACTTAAAGGTTCAAGGATGAAGTATAAAGATTTGAAGATGGATAGTTAAAGATATGAAGAACAATGTATGAAGATTTGAAGGGGTTAAGAGCAAATCAAAAGTTCGGGGGTCAACTAAGGAGTTCTGGAATAGAAAAGTAAAAAAGTGAAAAAAATAGGACCGAAGCTTTTATAGAGAAGAGGTAATTAAAGCTTGACATTTCGCATTCGAGGACGGTCAACCAACGACTGACACGTGTCCGAAGTCAAAACGATGCGACTGATGGGATGTTTCACTGACCCATCGACCCAGTTATCGTGTACGAAAGATGGAACTCGGTCAATGAATCGCTGTGATAAATCTGCTTTCTGAAAAGTGAGGGGACTATCTGTGTACGGGTAATATCGGGGGCAATGTTATCCTCGATTCCTCAATAAGGAAACGAGAGGGAAGCACGGTCAACTACAAGTAAGACTGAAGGATCCCTCGTGTCAGAACGCGGGAAGGATGAACGATACATCTGGGACCGGGAACGTCAGAACAACGGATCCAGACTAAGTAAAGTTTCGAGACCACGGGAAAAGGAGAAACGGTTGGGCAGGACAAGTGGGGAGTCGCAATATTCGCCCTCAACCGGATATTACGGCGTAAATCCCATATGGTAACACCTGTAGATCAGACATTTATGAGAAAAAGAAGATTTTACCTTATTTAGACTTGTATTAGGATAGAAATTCCCTACTATATAAAGGGAAGAATTTTTTTATTTTAACACACTGTTGACATGCATATCAAAGCAACAAAAGTTTATTTTTGTCTTCTAGCTATTATTCAAAGTATTCTCCAGCTATTCTCTTCTTTAATTGCAACTGAGCCCATATCGAGGGTCCGATCGAGGCCGTGTTTCAGTGTTCAACTTAAGAACAGGCTTGAATGTCATATTACGAATGGTTTGATCGTTCATTCTCTCTTTAATTTAATTACTTGTTGTTCTTAGATTATTCATATTGATTTAAATCACATATCCTTTAAACTACGTACAAATATTATTGTTACTCATTTTTAAGGGTAAACAAATATAAACAACAAATGCAAGTACGTTCCTCTAACGCCATCGAAGCTTATAAGAGTGCCCTAACCTTTGCCATGCTCCTAAAACTACTATTTTGGCTGGGCCGGTTGCCAATACATTAAAGCAAACAACGGAATAATAGAGTACTTATATAGAACAACAATAGTGGAGCAAGAAATAGTGAGAATATGCAAAGGGAAACGTCCATAGTCGATTAGCATTTGGCAGTTAGCAGGGGACCCCAACCGAAAGAGGGAGAGTTTCTGCCTTTCTGGTGAAGTGACCGAGTCAGAAGACAGATATTCTACCTCATTTATTTATCTCTCTTTTGATTTCAATGGGAACTCTTTATTATTAGCATAACAATTCTATTTGTTGGAGAAAGGGTGTTTCTGTACGTACAACCCTGGGAGGAATTGAAGGGGGCGACAAATTTCTAGAAATACGTGTGGTGCTGCAGTTAGATATTCTAGTGGCAGATATTATTTTCATGTATTTACACCAAATCATATTAATTTTTGGTTAAATGATAAATTAAAGTGAATATATATATTAATAATTTAGTGAAAATTAAATTTGTAAAAACATATATTATATATTTATTAGATTGATGTGCGAGTGAGTATTTATCCCCGATTAGCTACACGACATTGCAAGAGACACCAGCCACCTCCTGTCCTCCTATTTGTCTGTATACTACCGTTTCCATGTACAGAAGAACAATTTCAATTACTTTGTAAATTCAAACACAAGTTACTCGTCCCGTTCTAATTTATATGACATAATTTAACTGGATGTTTTTTTTCAAATATGTGACTTAAATATAATATAATATTTATGTGACTATAAAAAATTGTCATATGTCATTATAGGTAAATTAAGATAAATTATTCATAAATTCAGAAAACTATTTTTCTTTGGACGAATTAAATAGAAAATACAATCATATAAACTGACACGGAGGGAACAACTATTGTTGTACAATGACAATTAGCTACTGCTGAATGCCACATTACTTTATAATCAGAATCAAAATTAACTCGAGTACACTACTGTTGTACAATATACTCATATTTACATTTACACATTAGGAAGATCAAGGCTTAAACTATGAATTCTCAAAATTTATCACTAATATCTCTTGCATATAGTTCCTTAAAAAAAAAAAGTAATAATGTCAAGAATCTCAATGCGGCTACTTTACTTGGGATTTATAAAATCACACATGTGTGCATCCAGCAATATTACAGTACCATAGAAATAACACTTTCTCTGTTTTATCTTATTTACATGATTAAACTTTATCACCATGGCCTTCACAAATAAAAGTAGTTAACTAAATAAACTTATTAGTCGATTTGGATTGTAGTATATAGTTCAATATTGGGCCCAGGGTGCACCCACCTAATTCTCCCACTCAAATGCAATAATCAATAAAATATCCTCCAGCTAGGACTTCACGGGACGACATCGTACCAAGGGGAGCAGCTCAGATGCTCTCTATCTCTTTCTCTTTTATTTTTGGATTTTTATATCGCTTTTTCTCTTTCTCAGTAACCAAGGGTCCAAAACCCAATAATGCCATAATCATTTTTACCTTATGAATGGCTGTAAAGGCAACCCACTTTTTCTCCCTTAAACTCAATCAATCCTTTTTGGAGATCTATGATTTCATTCTCTTCTCTTTTTTTATTTATTTACGTTGTTATATACTAATAATACGACAACTTTCAGCGTCACTATTAAAAGCCATCAAAAGGAGCATAACTCAAAAGCGGAATCTTTGAATTTAAATTGAAAATACAAACAAACAAATGCATGTACAACACGGTAGCTGTAATTCTCATAGTACTGTTATTCCCTTTCCTCACCCCAGTGTAAGTTTGAATCTATCTTACTTGTAGTGATCGAGTAAAAAATTTTATGCTACTCCATATACTATCGTATTTTAATAGCAAATAGCACCAACTTACTTTCCAGCTTACTAATGTTATTATGTAATTTTTATGAAACATTACTTGTAGTTATCTCTAAATTTAGTACAAACAGATGCATGTTAAACTGTACCTAGAAACAAAGGCTAGCTTTTCACACTCAGGTTATACCCTTTACTCACCCTAATGTAAATATAAATTTACATAAACTAATAATTTAAAGAATTTTTACATTAGTGATGTAATTCATGTCTATTTCTATAGTTTTGAATTATTTCAGGCGACTTAATAGTATAAAAAAAAACCTTTTACATTGTCAATACGTATATAGAAGTTAAACTAAATTTTTTTTAACAGAATTTTGTATGTTGATGGGGGGTGGGGGGAGGGGAAAGTGGTCCACTTGAGTCTATGTCTAACCGACTATAGAGAGAAAAGCCGTGTGAGATAAGGAATAAAATAGAAGGAGAGAAAGAGAAAGAGAGAGAAGCTAAGCTGCCATAATATTGTATGGTAGTTTTGCAGTTAAAGATTCAAACACAAAGTGAATAGTAGAGAACCTCTGTAACAACAAAAGAAGAAGAAGAAGAAGAAATTAGTAGTCTTTCTGTGAATGGAAGGAATCATGCAGTTGTAACCATTGTTTTGTCTGGTTTTACCTTTTGTTTACCTCACACTGTAGTATAATCTTGGGATTTAGCTGTTTTCAGCAAATCTTTGGTTTTTTCTGAAGCTGAGCTGTTCTTTTGGTTCTTTCTTAGTTAAAATCCTCCTTCTCCTTCTTCTCCACTATCTTCACTCCAAACTTCAGCTGCAGAAATGATGTCTGATGATGGACTTTCTTTCATTCAAGATCCAAACCCTAATTCAAATCCTTCTGCCAAGAGAAAAAGAAACCTCCCTGGAAAACCAGGTAATTCATTTAGCAAGCTTTATTTCAAGACTTACCTTTTCTTGCTTTCCTCATAATTGGTTTTCTTTTAATTTTATGTTGAACAGATCCAGACGCAGAAGTGATAGCGCTATCACCTAAGTCACTGATGGCGACGAATCGATTCATATGTGAAATCTGCAATAAGGGTTTTCAAAGGGACCNTGTAAGATAAGGAATAAAATAGGAAGAGAGAGAGAGAGAAGCTAAGCTGCCATAATATTGTATGGTAGTTTTGCAGCTAAAGATTCAAAGACAAAGTAATAGTAGAGAACCTCTGTAACAACAAAAGAAGAGGAAGAAGAAATTAGTAGTCTTTCTGTGAATGGAAGGAATCATGCAGTTGTAACCATTGTTTTGTCTGGTTTTAACTTTTGTTTACCTCACACACACTGTAGTATAATCTTGGGATTTAGCTGTTTTCAGCAAATCTTTGGTTTCTTCTGAAGCTGAGCTGTTTGTTTTGGTTCTTTCTTAGTTACACTCCTCCTCCTCCTCCTTCTTCTCCCCTATCTTCACTCCAAACTTCAGTTGCAAAAATGATGTCCGATGATGGACTTTCTTCCTTACCTTTCATTCAAGATCCAAACCCTAGTAATAATCCAAACCCTAATTCAAATCCATCTGCCAAGAGAAAAAGAAACCTCCCTGGAAAACCAGGTAATTTAGCATGCTTTGCTTTACATCAACATATAAGACTATTTTCCAGACTTACCCTTTCTTGCTTTCTCATAATTGGTTTTCTTTTTTTATGTTGAACAGATCCAGATGCAGAAGTGATAGCACTATCACCCAAGTCACTGATGGCGACGAATCGATTCATATGTGAAATCTGCAATAAGGGTTTTCAAAGGGACCAGAATTTGCAGCTCCACAGAAGAGGTCACAACTTACCATGGAAGCTCAAGCAAAGAAACAAAAATGAAGTGATCAAAAAGAAAGTTTACATTTGTCCAGAAAAGACATGTATCCACCATGATCCATCAAGAGCTCTAGGGGATTTAACAGGTATTAAAAAACACTATTCAAGAAAACATGGTGAGAAGAAATGGAAGTGTGAGAAATGTTCAAAGAAATATGCAGTTCAATCTGATTGGAAAGCTCATACTAAGATTTGTGGTACAAGAGAATATAAATGTGACTGTGGAACTCTCTTCTCCAGGTAACTAATTAATCAAACATCTTTATCATTTCTAGTTGAAATTTATTGCATCAAGTACAATAGAGAATATGAATGTCCTATGATTACTCACTTGTGGAAGTAAATGAAGTAAATCTATGTCCTGAATTTTAATGCAACTAATAAACCAAGATTGTTTTTTGGTTTCTTGAAAATTGAACAGAAAGGACAGCTTTATAACACACAGAGCCTTCTGTGATGCTTTAGCAGAAGAAAGTGCAAGATTTACATCAGTTCCAAGTACAGCAACTCTTAACTTCAGAAATGAATTGCTCAGTGGGGGAATGATTAGTGGAAATCCCCAATTTGGTAATTCTTTATTTAGGCCTGAATTTATGGGACTTGGATTGGACCCTGCAATTAATCATCAGCTCAATAATGTTGATGGACAAAAACCAAGGATGCCACTTTGGTTGGAAAATAATATTAATCCAAATTCAGGTAATAACGCCAATGATTTTTTAGTAGCATCATCAAGCTCTACTAGCAACTTGCCTCATCAATTGGTCCAAATGGCGCCCCCTCATAATAATCAACAGTGGTTCGTTAATGGTGGCGGTGGTCGTGATGATTCTGGTTTTGGGTCTTCCTCGTCCCTTCCTTCGCGAGTTTTAAGGGAGGAAGAAGATAACAAAAGAAATTTGTGTGAGACAATAAGTTCAATGTACTACAACAGTCATCAGCAAGAAACAACAACACCACCATCTCATATGTCGGCAACTGCACTTTTGCAAAAAGCAGCCCAAATGGGATCAACGAGGAGCAATTCGGCCCTCTTTGGCAGTGGATTTGGGCTGATGGGGTCATCTTTTTCAAAAAGCAATGGACAATTTGCAGCTGATCAGAATTTGAATGGATTAATGATGAATTCACCTCCATCAGCTGTTTCAACTTTGACGACTACCAATAATAATCAAGCTGGAAATAGGCTGTTGTTAGGCGGGGATCTTATGAACTCGAGTTCATTAGAGGGTAATTCAAGTGCAAAGAATTCAGATCCTTTCTTGATGCTGAATAACAAAGGAAAGCAAATAAATCTGAGTGGAAATGAAGCTATTGAAGGAAGCTTAACAAGAGATTTTCTTGGTGTAGGAGGGAATGAAAACAGGCCCTTTTTGTCCAAAACTGAGCTGGCCAAGTTTGGGAATACTTCTAGTTCAGCCATGGGATTAAGCCAGTACAACGGAAGTCATTTAGACGAATAAAGGTGGGTTATTTTTTTCCACTCGACTTATGTATATATATGCAAAAAAGTTAAAAGGTATACTCTAAGCTTGTTCACTCTGAACTCACTTGCTCAAAATTCTGGAGTCATATACTAGAAAAAAGGTCCAAACTTGTGGGGGAGCTAGCTCTTAGTTCAAGAATTTTCACTATAATGGAATGATACAAGGTTAAGAATCTAAAGGCCAAATTAAGCTTCAATCTTCAAGAGAGAGAAAGAGGAAGGAAGGTGCAGCAATATTGAGAGATCTTGTGAATTGTCAGAGAAATGGGGTCCACTGAATGTTGGAAGAGAGTTGATAAAGCGACTTGACAATCACAAGTCAGGCTTTTCCTCCGTTGTGTTACTTACTGTTCGTAGAAAGATTACTGTCTTTTTACATTTTTTTTCCTTTTGAGTGTTCAATTGATTTCTGCAAAAACTGCGACTCTCCGTTGGCTGCCACATTTTGAATCTTTTGGAATAATTTCGTTGGTATTTTAGTTTTGGATTTAAGTATTTAACTCATATACTCACAGTGCAAAAAAAATAAATAATTATACTATCATTGGGTTTTAATATGTTATTGCAGGTTATCTTTCTTATTCTTCAGATGGATTTAAGTTATATATATTAATAGTGTAAATTTTTTTTACACCATTAGTGAATCTTAACTTGTGATAGTAGATTAGTTACTCATTTTATCAGAACCTTGATTAATGTTTATGAAGAGATTTATGTGTAATTACCTAATAAGTAACATGATTTTGTATAAACATTTTATCTAATTGTTTTTCCTATCATGTTGACATGTCTTGACCTTCATTGAACCAAATTTTTAAGAATACGATGAAAAGGGTTACCAATAGTTTGGCGGCCGTCATAATTTGGTCTCATTACTTGACTCTCTCACAAGTATCACAAGATTCTGTTCTTTGACATGTCTTTTCTCCTCGACTCTACCTATTTGATTTCTCCACAGGATTAGCATCAATGTTCCGTTCTACTTAGCTAGATGTACCAAATATTTAGTGGGGTTTCTTGAATTCATGTTTAAATAAGTTTTGTAGTAAAATTATGATCAGTATATTTTTTGCGATTTATATATGATCAAAGTGAATTTTGTATTATTATAATATCGATGGGCATTGCCTCTTTTCTTTGTCAGGATTTCTTCAGTTTGCCAGATTTTGTTTATGTATAACCATTGCGTTCTTTTACTTATTGACAATCTAATATTTCGGAGCATTTGAATCCTTAATAACAAGTAGTTGTGTGTATTTATCGTGTGCACATTTTGGAAACTACATATTACCAACCTGGAGGTGATTGTATATGTTCCCATAAGCCTTGTCTTGGCTAGAATAAACATTCAGAGCTCATGAGGCATGCTAATTCGAAAGACAGAAATGTTTATTTTGTGTACTATATTCCTAATAATATTATGTTTTATGAACTGACAATTGACAAAGAACACAATCAAATTAAGTTTCACCTCTTACAATAGGTAAATTTTTATAGCAAATCTGATATAATACTTGGAAAATATAGTGATAATATCATAGTATAATTATTGAAATTGTATTGATAGAGTAAAGTATTTTTATACTGAGATATATAATTTAGATTCATAATTACAGAAATTACTAATTTCCTTTGCACTGTCAAATTTAATACATTGCTGCACCTTTTCTCGACTGAGGTACTGCATATATTTTGCTTTGAACTATCATGATTTTAAGTGCTATATTTTACATGCTCTTCAAAAATATTGTTGTACTCGTATGAGATTTTTCAAAAATACATAATTTTTGGAGAATCTGACATGCAATATTTTTAGAGAATGCGAGCAACATAGATCGATTTAAGTCTGAGGAAGGCCAAGGTTAGTCATGTGATAACGGTAAAAAATTTAGTCACCTAGGTAAATCAGGTCTCTGAGATCTGATCTCTCATAGAGCTAGAATATATACCTTTTTGAACTTGCTAACTAGTTTGTCTTTTGTTTTGGCAGTAAGCGGAAAGATATATCAAAATCATTCCAGCTCTTTCTCTAGCTCAGTTGATCAGCTTAATGAGCCAAAAGACAGATTTTGAATCTCTAGTTTAATTATCACCAATATACCACTTTTTTTAACTCCTAAATCACGTTTATAGTGTCATCATCATGGCACATTAATGAATCATTTTTCTTAACAATTCAGGAAGCATCTATTTCCGCCTTTTAATTACTATAAATTAAAACTGCCAGAGCTCGCATCCGTAAAAGTTATACTGTTTGAGAAAATATACTCCCTGATGAAAAAAAGAAAAGAAAAGAAGATATTACTCCCATTATCCCAAAAATAATGATAATCGTTTCTATTTAGAGAGTCAAATAGCCTATCTTTTATTACGTTTTTCGAATACATGCAAGAATATGTAATTTATCGATATTATTTTTTTTTAAATTAACACCAAAAATCAGCTAAAACTTATACTGAGAACAGTAACAGCCATCATTATTTAAGAAGGGAGCTAGTAGCATTGTTTGAACTTTGTCTCACTTGGTGGACGAAGTTAATTTCTTTTTCCTTGGGATAATCAAATTGTTAAGCGCGATTTTTGTTCTCTGCACTGCTTTGTTCAGGTAATTAAGGAGAACGTATGTGCATGGAGTTGGAATCATGCATGGAGATATATAGTTAAGTTGGAAAGAGAATCGATGGAGAAGAATGAAAGAGTAGACCATAAAGGTCGTAACCCCTACTTAGTACGTACAAGTATGACAATTGTTTATCCAACTGCTTCAAGGTTCGAGCTAATTGGTTTGTATAAGGTAGTCAAAGCTGCCTGTATTTGTATTAGGTAGCATCGATACTCACTTTCATTCTCCTAGATTAGGGGAACAATGTTCTTCTTGTTTTTAATTTCTTTTTCCCTCTTTGACTCCTTACTTTCTTTCACTATTTTGGACAAAATTTTCTTTTTCTCTTTTTTTTTCTGTGTGTGTGTGG